TAAAATGTGTATACACTGATCAGCCATAATATAAAAAATCCAGCAGCACTGCTATGTCTGATCCACTCGCACCAGCACAACACACACTAACACACCACCACCATGTCAGTGCAGTGCTGAGAATGACCCACCACCCAAATAATACCTGCTCTGTGGGGGTCCTGTGGGGGTCCTGACCATTGAAGAACAGGGTAACAAAGTACGCAGAGAAACAGATGGACTACAGTCTGTAACTGTAGAACTACAAAGTGAAACTATATGGTCAGTGGAGCTGATAAAACAGACAGTGAGTGTAGGTTTTAATGTTAGTGTATGTTGATCGTTATAATCTTTAATCTGACAGACAGAAACACTGTAATGAAAATGTGTGACTGAGTCTAAATTCTAATAAATCTGTGTTGAATGTTGAATCTTGAATTTCACTGCGTGTCTGTGGGATGCAGTCATTTTTCCCTAAGCCTTTAGAGCGGATCACAACGGACTCTGTGCGTCACAAACTCTGGCACAAACGTCCAGAAACTTTTACAGAGAGCAACCACAAGCTGTTCAAGACATACAGGAACCCACAGGCAGCCGAAAAAACAGAGCAACTCTGTTTTTGTAGAAAAACTTGCGTCTACTCAGGGCCGACCACATTTTTCACGAGATTGTTCAGGACACTGCTGAAAAAACCTTGAACTCTAAGCTGGTCTATGCTGGTTTATGCTGGTCTAGTGCTCATCTGGTCACCCAGTATGGTCATGCTGGTTGACCAATATACTAGCTTCCAAAACATTACATATGCTTGTTTTTATGGCAGGAAAGGACAGTTGTTTTGTTCAGAACTGCATTGAAACAAACCTAATATAGTGATACAAGTGATATCATTCATTAAGGCCCAGTCACACTTGCATTGGCCATTTTCATAAGCAAAATTACATCACTTTCAAAGGAATTTGCCACAATGAGTGATTTCGCGCTGCAGATGTCCCGGACAAAACATTTTTGTGTGTTCAAGTTTGGTGAACTTTGACATACAAATTTGCGTGTTCGACCAATAGCGCTACTGCTTTGGCTGTATTGACCTCAAAGCAGCCTTGAAACACTAATTTTAGCAAGTAGCACAAACCTTTAAACATTTCTTTGCCACTGACTACAAATAAAGAAATGAAAGAGAGACTGTATGACATCAAAGTCCTTACAGGAAAGTCTGTTCACTTAGTGGCCATCTTTGCAACGCTGCCGGGCAGTTATTTTGACTCATACAAGAGCCCTCTCTGAATGGGGAGACACCTAAAAACTCAAAACTGACAGCCAAATCACCGTTTCAAAAACACATTTGAAATCACAGATAAAATCTCTAATAGAATTCTAATAAAATGTTTCCTCAAGCTTTCCATACATATCTCAAACAGTGACCTTCTCCTCCTTTATAACATCTCTTACTGAACCTCCAAAATAGAAGAAATGCTGATTTTAGCACGTCTAAGCACAAACCTTTAAACCTTTCTCACTGACTGTAAATAAACACACGAAAGAGAGACTGTATGATATCCAGTCAGTCGGGAGACTGTATTATTATTTCTACTTTTGTGGTTTAACTGTTTGTGTTAGACAAATTAGCCATTTTGCTAAGTGCAATGTTAGCTCCACAGCTAACTGAAGCTGCACGAGTCACCTCACTGTCGCCAACCACAGCAGTTATCTACACATTTTTTGCAACATTGTGCTGTGGCGAGTGTTCACTTTTTGTGTTTACTATTAGCCAGTTGCTAAGTACTGTTAGCTCATTAGCTAGCTGCAGCTGCACAGTCACCTCACTGCCACCAAACATGCCAGTTATCTATGTTTGTTTGGTACAGCTCAGTGTGCAGCACTGTACTCCCGTGCATACATAATCATCAGATATGATTATGTTCCCTTTTTTGTCACTGTTTATGGTTAGCAAGTTAGCTAACTTGCTAACTGCATCAACATGATGATTTTCAACACCAGTCTTTCCGGTCCAGTCTCGCTCACACCCGTTTTGCAATTTTCCAAATTACGTTAGCACATGCTAACATACTTCATCCCACGTTTATGGATAGCAGTGTGTGATACTGTGACAGAAACCACATGGGTCATTCTCCATTCGGAGTGGGAATTCAGGAGGATACATTTTTATAAAAATCAGTTTCTTTCATCCCAAAACTAAATAATCTTAATATGTCCATTAACATCTCCTACTATCATATATGCAAAAAGGGGCGCTGAATTCCAAACATATTTCACAGTCTCTCGTGTTAAATGAATGTGGTGTAACACCACTGACTGTGACACCAGTGACATTCGGGTTAAAACTGAGGATTTTGTAAATTGGCTGACTCATTGGTGGTCAGGTGACCTTGTGCAACTGTTTAAAATCAGTAATAAAAATAATTTATGGCATTATTTTGACAGTGTTAAATACCCAGCTATTAAAGCACACCGGTGACACATAGAAGTTATGTACTGCCTGATAAACAAAATAATTAATGAATTGATAAAATTTAGTGAGCAAGTGTCGACTTGACTTCTCATGCTTTGAGACGCTGCCTCTCTGATGATCCTTGACCGCAGGAAGCAGTTTAATAGAGCTGAAAATACTATGTTAAAATGTAATCCTAAGTTAAACCTCTTAAAAGTACTGTTTTTATTAAAATGGTTTGAAAATTGGTTTTGTGACGAGCTTTTTACAGATGCAGAGTGACTATGAAACAGGGAAAAAAAGAGAAAAATCTGAGAAATCATAAGGGAAAAGTATGATTTAATCTTATGTTAGCTGTGTAATTGTACATACCGACTTTTGGAGCTGTGCCTAATATTTTAGGCATCTTTTTACGCCCTGCAACCTTTGTGACATGGTTTCCCGCTCCAAATGGAGAATAACCCACATGATAAAGTCTTTTAGAGATTAAACAGCTTAATTTGAGGTCTGTTTAAACAGAGACAAAGCTGAGCCCTCAGGATGTTTTTTAGCGAGGCTACGCGCTGTACTTTTCTCCATTGCCAAACATTTCCTTTAAACACCATTTTCTGCAAACGTGTTGCGCTCTGCAGATGTTTATACTCTCAATTTCTTCACCAGCGGTCAGGAAACTCCGGCCCAAGGCTGGACCGTGTGCAGGGTGGAGCCAAGCGGCGCTATCATTAAGAGGTTTATTTTAGCAGCAGCCTGACCGTTCATGCTCAGCCGGCCAGAAGAAAAGGACAGATGAAAATCTTGTTTCTTCCTGTCGGTGCGGGTTTGTTTGAGCGGGAGTCTGTCATACTGAGCCACTTCCTGCTAGAAGACAGCCTGCTTCCCCATTCCATTCATACACGCAGCACACTGCGCTAATCTAGTACACTGCTCCTGTCTTCAAGTAGCCCTCAAACTGACCTCCTATATAAGATCACTGACTGAAACGCACTCTACTGACCTGCTTTAACAGCACAGGGTCAGTTCTGGCCTGGCTGGCAGTGTGACTGTGTTGTTTTGTGCACATTGCGCTCTGTGTAAACCCTTAAAAGTTGAAACCAGGGAAAGAAATAATCATTTGTAAAGGGACTATTTGCCTCACAGCGCCTTACATGTATCCCTCCATCATGAATACATTTTAAAAATACATTTTAGACCAAACGTTTCTCAAACTAACAACGTCTCAGATATCAGGCAGTGTTTTCATAACCATTTCATGTAACAACTTTCTGTAAGGGAGCTTTTAGAGGTGGGCGTCTGGTTCCTATCATCACCACTGTGAACAATTCTGACTCGGTAAGTTTCTCTAGAACGGAGCATTTCACACCAAACCACTCTGAATGACACCGTAATGATTTTATTATAAGTTCTGAAAAATTGGTCAATTTCTTGTTTAAGGGGGCCTGAACTTCTCTTTTAAGGGGCACAGTGCTACTGATGCTGGTTGAAAAAAAGTCTAAAAACCATTGAAACACATTTACACCACTTAACATACCTAGCAGCTACAGAACAAGGATAAACAGTGAGGTACAATATTTATTTGTACCACGTATAAAAGATAATACAACAGCACTTCCTTGTACAGTTACTATTAAAGCCCATCAGCTGAACATCAACTGTTTCCTTGTGCGAGTTCACCTGTACTCAGGAATGTGAACTCTCCGGTTAAAGTGTCATTTAAATGGCTAATCAATGAATGTCCCCATTGTTTGATGTAAGGTCATTCTGCAGGTCACTGAGCAGCACTGCTGCTCTGTATCTACACTAAAATGTCTGTAAAGCGAAAAATCTAACTTACGCAGCCAAATGTAGTTGATCAGCTAAGACGTTTGGTTTCTGAATTTGGTTTCTTTAGTTTTAGCGCTGATGCTAACACGGCTAATGCAGCTAACAAGTAATGGAAATAGCCACCAATTAGCGTTGTGCAAACTGAGCACCAAATTAATCACACGCGCTTCAAGCCGTGTCAAACTATGCTGTTTTAAGTTTTTTTCCCAGTTATAAAAATGGACAAATTCAGTCTCCTAGGTGGTTGCTACTGTTTTAGCTATGCTAATGTATTTTAATCCATGTTTCTTGATAACAGTGAGTCATACAGTGCCAGAAACCACATAATCAAGTCTATTAGAGATAAATGAACATCACAGGTTTAAACGTGTGTGATTAGCATGAGATTAGCACCATGCTAGTTGCCTTCCTCTTTCACTAGATTAGCCTCATAGATCCAGTGCTAAAACTAAAGAAGCTAACGTCAGACACCAAACACTTCTTGGATGATTGACTACATGAGGTAAGGGGGTGTTTGGGTTAATTTTTTGCCCAAATATTACTTTAAAGTCCCAGAATCTGAAATTAGCTCGATAAACCCAAAGCAAAGACTGTCCAACAGAAATGTCACTTTCCCATTGGTCAGTCTGACCTTTATTAGCCCCAAAAATGGTGGAATTTTGAAACAGGTGAACATTTCCTATTTAAGTCAGTGATTTTTTTGCAGCAAGTGAAATAACACAATGATAATAATGGATTTTGTTTACTATATACGAATAAAAACACAGAAATATGTGTGTTAAAGGTTTTTATTAGATATTTGCACTTAGTAACAAGTAATATACATTAAAATGTTATAATTTAAAAAAACATAGAAACACAGTAAAAGCACCTTAGGACTGGAAAGTACCGTATTAGGAGCGTCCATTCAGCTGCCAGAGAGTTTTTAAAATGCAGTGTCTGTGCCACAAAAACTAGCCTAACTGCTGTTAATCCAAATGGCTGCTGTTACTTCATTACTGTGAATACATGACATTATTGCAGTTGCGTCTCTTAATCATTTGTCTGAGCTAAATCTCTTAACTAACCCTCTGCCAGTGCTTTCATATTCAAATAATTCCCTCAAACTACACCAAAGACATATTTACATCCAGTAGAGTTAGAATAATACATACATAACGTTGCAAACAAAGTGTTTCTAAAACCTGAGACATGTAAAAACATGAGAATTTTCACAGACTGAGAGTTTTTACTCAGTGCAGTCATCCTATAAAAACAAAATTCTTGATTTTTCATATTGAAAACAGTGATAGTATTACTCTCCATGAAGGATTTCAGTGTTTTGTGTGCAAACTCCATGGCAGTGTGCTTTATTTTTTAACGTTAAGCGCTTTATAGGACCCCACTGTCAGGAAGCCCCACTTTAAAGGGCCGCACTGCACTCAGTAATGAGACAGCAGCGCCCTCTGCTGGCCAAACCAACCAAATTACAATTAGGGGTCATGGCTTTTTCTGTGTCAGGAATTAATAACAGTTAACACATTTTCTTAAAATGTAAAATTGCTATTTGAAAAACCCTGATTCACTATACAAATATACATGTCATTTACAAAAAACAAACACAGCTAAAAACACGGTGCCTGAGCGGTTCTGGTACCTGCCCGTGTCTGGGTTCGGGTCTGGTACAGTAAAGCAGGAGAATGTGCCCTGATAAAACGTGACTTTTGAACATCACTTATTCCTGAGCTTTAAAATTGAGCTACATAAAGAATCAGCTAAGTAGATTAAAATGACCACACAGTGTACACTTTGTTGTGTATGTGAGTCAGAAAAACAGGACTTTGCACCACAGCAGAGCTGCTGCGTCCAAACGCTCCGTTCTGTGTGCAGTTCAAGTGATTTCACCCTGAGCTGAGGAAGTGACAGAATAACAGGCTAGGGTTTAGAGCACTAAGGGATCAGAGCTGGGGTTTAGAGATTCAAGGTTGGGGTTTAGGGGACTAGGCATTTAGAGTTGGGATTTAAGGGGTTCAGTGTTGAAATTTAGGGGTTCTGGGTTAGAATATAGGGGTTCAAACCCTTAAAGGATTAAGGATTTAGGGGTTTACGGCTGGGATTTAGAGGACTATGGGTTCAGGGTTGTGGTTTACAGATTTAGGCTCAGGGTTTAGAGGACTATGGGTTCAGGGTTATGGTTTACAGGTTCAGGGGCTCAGGGTTGGAGTTTAGAGGTTTTGGGCTGGGATGTAGAAGACTAGGTTTCAGGGTTGTGGTTTACAGGTTTAGGGATGGGGCTTAGGGACTCAGGGTTGGAGTTTAGAGGTTTAAGGTTGGGGTCCACTAAAGGTGGCGATAGGCAGGCAGAGCAGAGAGCAGAACGTGGGCTGCAGAGGCTGGACCTGAGAGGACAGAGCTCTGAACCTCGGCCAGTTAGCACAGCTGTCTGGTTTATAACACACCGACACTTCACACCTGACAACACACACAACAAAAAAACAAAAACAACATCAGTTAGCACATGCCAACAAAAAGCACAATGATCATAACTAATGACTTATTATAAAGGGCCACTCATATAATGCTGACTACAAGGTACTTCCACTCAGTAGCCACTATATCAGAAAAACCTACCTTACAGCTCCACTATGTAAGTGTTCAGTAACAGTCCATCTGTTGCTGTACAGTTTATCAGCCCCTCTACTCCATTATTGGTCAGTTTCTGACCACAGGGCCACTGTTGTCCAGATATTATTTGAGTGGCATTCCACTCTCAGCACAGACCCTGACATGGTAGTGTGTGGTGCTGGTACAAGTGTATCAGACACAGCAGTGTTGCTGGAGTTTGTACACATGTCAGTGTCACACTCCACCCAAAAACATCCAGACAAGAGCAGCTCTGTGGTCAAAAGCTGACTAGTGAAGAAGGTCTAGAGGATAGCAACTTAAACTGTGCATCAACAGATGACCTACGGTCTCTAACTGCACACCTGCAAGGTGGAACTACAAAAGAGGTGTTTCCTATAAAGCGGCAATGCCTGTGTACCTAAAAAAATCTTTTTAAAAAGTCTTCAAAGCACTTCAATTTCTCACTCTCAAAACTATCTAACTTCTGTATTAGTTTATTAGTAGTGAATCATTCATAGTTGATATTAAATAATACATAGCAGATACTGAATAATTCATAGTAGATACTGAATAATTCACAGCATATAATGAATAACTTATAGCAGATACTGAATAATTCATAGTAGATACTGAATTATTCATAGTAGATGCTGAATAATTCGTAGCAGTTACTGAATCATTCATAGGAGATACTGAATAATTCATAACAGATACTGAATAATTCATAGCAGATACTGAATCATTCATAGTAGATACTGAATAATTCATAGTAGATACAGAATCATTCATAAGATACCGAATAATTCATAGCATATAATAACTTAAAGCAGATACTGAATAATTCATAGCAGATACTGAATAATTCATAGTAGATACAGAATCATTCATAAGATACCGAATAATTCATAGCATATAATAACTTAAAGCAGATACTGAATAATTCATAGTAGATACTGAATATTTCATAGCAGATACTGAATAATTCATAGTAGATACTGAATCCTTCATAGTAGATACTGAATAATTCATAGCAGATACTGAATCATTCATATTAGATATTAATAATTCATAGTAGATACTGAATCATTCATAGCAATTACTGAATAATTCATAGCAGTTACTGAATTATTCATAGTAGATACTGAAACATTTATAGTGGATACTGAATAATTCATAGTAGATACTAAATAATCTATAGTAGATACTGAATAATTCGTTGCAGTTACTGAATTATTCATAGCAGATACTGAATCATTCATAGTAGATACTGAATCATTCATAGCAATTACTGAATAATTCGTAGCACTTACTGAATTATTCATAATAGATACTGAATCATTCATAGTAGAAACTGAATAATTTGTAGCAGTTACTGAATCATTCATAGTAGATACTGAATAATTCACAGTGGATACTGAATCATTCTTAGCAGTTACTGAATCATTCATAGTAGATACTCAATATAGTAAATACTGAATAATTCATAGTAGATACTCAATATAGTAGATACTGAATAATTCATAGTAAGATACTGAATCAATTATAGTAGATACCCAATAATTTATAGTAGATACTGAATGATTCATAGTAGATATTGAATATTAACTCTGCTGTTTGTGAGATTAAAGCCATTTGGTTCTCTCTCTAAAGCTGAGTGAGAACTGAAGTTCCTAACAAACAGAACAGATTCAGTACCGGGTCACGCTCTGTAGAATCTTTTTCTCGTCCTGATCCAAACACACAGCGAAGGTGGTGTTTCCGGATCCACTCACTCGCACCTTGTCCACTTTTGCCCGAGTGGTGCTCAGTTGCTGAGAACAAACACACACACAGTGATCAGCAGATAAAACAAAATCATGCTGTAGTTTCATATTAATTATTTCTGATTTGTAGCTCATTGAAACAAGCAGAGGAACTGTGTGGAAAGTGCAGATTCTAAACTCGCAGTCCAGACCACGTTAGTGTTTCAAAGCAGAAGAGATGTTTTATTAAGATCGTTTATTATTTACCATTATGTTTTCATTTTACAGGAAAGAAAATTAATCCTTTACGTCACTTTTTTAGTCATTTTTTACATTGTAAACAAACAGAAAAAGTCAGAAGTGCAGAGTCAAGCCTGACCATATTGAATGGAAATCAAACGTAAAATATTGTGCAACTGCTTAATTAATTATGCAATTATGTTGTCACATTTAAATATTATCACAAACTGACAATGACAACATGTAGCGGTTAATAAAGCCAGGCAGTGTAAGGCATATGATTCATAATCCAAACTAGTACAAGTATGTAATGTATATTATGGATTTAATATGGAGTTGTTTATATATATATATATATATATATATATATATATATATATATATATATATATATGTGTGTGTATGTATATATACATATATATATATACAGACACACACACACACACACACACACACACATACATACATATATGTTTGTATATATATGTAGTTTGCAGCACAAACAGAATAACAAGTACAAATTGTTGGTTTTGTTAGTTTATACTCTTAACAAATCAAAGTAAACACACTGACAGCACTGAGAAATCACCATACTAACAGGCTCAAAAGGCAGAAATAGCTGCTTCTCTGGTGCAGGCATTAAGGGTTAAACCAAGAAAATGCTCTTTCCTGTTAGTTAATCACAGTACATTTCTTTTCTCAAACCAAAGCCACGAAAGCTGCAGACTCAGAGCGAAAGTACAGTCTGAGTTCTGCGGCTCGCTGACACCAAAAAGAGCACCAAACGTGAGAAAAAGCTCAGAGCGTTTGTTTTCGTTCATGAGCTCAAACGAAAACAAGTCTTCGCCCGTTTTTGCTCTCGGCCTGCTGCGCTGTTTGTGACACGCCGCATCAAACCGAGCGCCGTCGCTTCAGGCTTGTTATGGTAGACACCGCTACGCTAACCGCGCTGAGGAGACAGAGCGCGCCTGAGTGTTTGTGTGTATCTCTGTGTATCTGTGTGTACAGAGGTTTAATTTTGTTTTTCTGTCTAAACCGCAGCTCAGCTCGGCTTCCTGCTCACCTGATTAAAACTCTTCTTAGATTTAGAGTTCTGTCTCTTCAGCACCTCCGTCATTGTCAGCTGAAGACACTCGATTTTAGGATCTAAACACAGACAAAAGACAAAAAGAAGAATGTGAGGCTTTCCAGATCAAATAAACTCAGTTTGATGTTTTTGTCATTTTTTGTTCTGAAAGCTCAAAGTTAAAACATCAACAGTACAAGCTACTGCAGATTAGCCTAGCCTACACATATTAAACATGGTTCTTCAAGGGTTCTTTAGTAAAGGCTATGGTTCTATTTAGAGCCATAAGTTCTATATGGAATCAATTCATGCTTAAATGGTTCTCTGCATGATGAAATTGTTCTTCAGATGCACAATGTGTTGTTTTTTACTACAAAATAGTTCTTTCTAGCATCAAAAAAGGTGGTTATAAGCTTGACATCGCAACAGTAGCAGAACCCTTTTTGATGCTATATAGAACCATTTTCAAAAACAACACATTCTCCATCAATCTGAGAAACCATTCCACTATGCAGAGAACGTTTTAAGCATGGTTCTTTGAGCATTCATGGTTCTATATAGAGCCACTGTTTTTACTAAAGAACCCTTAAAAAAACATCTTTTTTGAAAGTGTAGTTATAATTTTCTGGACTGTTACCCTGAGATCATGACTTTGTAGTCTTATGATCTCAAGATAACAAAAGTTGCTTTCACAAGATCACACCTTATTTTTCTTGTGCTCAAGATTTCCTCAAGAAAACAACTTCTGTTATCTTGAGATCAGAAGACAAATAAGTTGTGATCTTGAGAAAATATTTATCGTAAGATCACAAGACAAATAAGTCATGATCTCAAGATAACAGTCCAGAAAATAATAACTACCTCATAACCTCTCTGGACGAGCCAGTTATTCAGTTTTCATCCACAGCCCCTATGAAGATGCACTCTAAAACAGTTTGCAGTAAAAATACAAAATTAATACTCAGTAACGCAAATGCACATCTAGAAAAATAAATAAACAAACCTACATAGAATAAACAACACACACAAGCATTACAATCAAATGATGTACTCATACTAGGACATACAATAACAATCATTCATGAATCAATTAATCACATTTAATCAGTCTCATTAACTTTTTAGATACTACAGTGAGTGTGTTTGCACATGCACTCATAATCCAATCTTGATCAGATTTCTTTGGTTATCTGATTATTCAAATGGTCATGTAAACAGCACACTCTGATTTCTTAGATCATACTAAGTTCTAGAAATCTGATTAAGAAATCTGGAGCTGGATTTTAGCTCAGTAATCAGATTTCTCAGTGCATGTAAACTCTTATGACGCTGAATCCAAACACGTGCTTGATGAAATGAAGGATTTAAATATTCTTCATCTCCTAGATGATGTGTGTTCATATTTTCAGGTAAAGTGGCACATCGTGAGTTCATTGGCTGGTTGCAAAGCAGAAATCTGATTACTGTCTGACTCATGTAGACCTGGAGTTTCCCCATTATCTGATTACCCAAGAGCATGAAAATATGTTGAACGGATTACTGACAAAATCCGATTTTCTGCAGTTATTGGATTAAGTGCATGTAAATGCACTCGGTGTTCACCTATCAGTCACTGTTGCCAAGTTTGCTTATTATAAGCCACGTTGGGCTTATTTTTCAGTAAAGTTGCTCACAAATATTGGTAGTTGTGGATTGTGTTTTTTTTGGGCTTGTTTCTAAAGCCTTGGGTTCACTACACGACTTCTAAAGTCTTAACAGATTTTAAGCAGACTGGACGTCTCACACTGTCTGACACTATCAGAGTTTCTGCAGATCTTTTTAGGCGGCTGAAATATTGTGAATCACACACTACTCAACTTTTAAGCTGTTACTCAACTAAACAGAACTCACTGAACTCGCATGAACTCAGGTGTTCTCCTTTTATTACGAGACGCAGGTAAACAAACGTGGAGCTGCTGCTGCTGTTTTCTCTGCTGTTTGCACTGACACAGTAAAAAAGCGGCACGTAAAAATGTTTAAGTCACGCTCATGGATTTAAAAATGTGATCAGTCTGGAAGTTTTTAGAGTTTTAAATGTACATAAGCTCGAATGTGCCTTAAACTCAGCTCATTAAAAATCTTTGCTCCACACGTGAGTGACTTTTCGCCATTTTTTTTGTTTACAGTTCTCATTGGCTGTTGGAGGAGTCAGTTCAGACAGAATCAACAAAAACTCTGACTGGCCTGGAACTCTATAAGACCAAAAATCTGTCACCGCAACAGCAAAGCAGAACATTTCCACAACGTTTTCATTTTCACGGAGTGTATTTTTTACTGTATTTTGTATATTTTCCATGTTGTTGCTGCGCAGGGCTGGCATAAAAGGGAATGCTGACTCTGGAGGTGGAGCTTCACAGCAGAACTACACATTTATTTTAATCCTGTTCTTCCGGGTGTGTAAGTGAAGCAGGTCGTACCGAGCTCCTCAGGGTTCCTGCAGGCTTTGGTCAGATTTACTGAAGTGCAAACTTTCTCCACCCTCGTCTTCTGACTTCTACCACTGACAACCACCTGGAGAGAGAGAGGGAGTAAGAGAGAGAGAGAGAGAACAGAAAGAGAGAGACGGTCAAAGAGTGAAAGAGAGTGGGGGGAGAGAGAGGAGAGAGAGAGAGACAGAGAGAGAGAGAGAGGGGACAGAAAGAGAGTGAGACAGTCAGAGAGGGAAAGAGGGAGAGTAAACAAATAGAGAGAGAGAGAGAGAGAGAGAGAGAAAGAGAGAGAGGGAGAGGACAGAAAGAGAAAGAGAGGGAGATGCAGGCAAACAGAGAGACAGAGAGAAATTGGACAGAAAGAGAGCAAGGGAGACACAATTGGACAGAGAGAAAGAGAGACAGAGAGAGAAAGTGGAAAGTGGGAGAGAAAGTACAGATAGAAAGAAAGAGAGGGAGGGAGACAGAAAAATAGAGAGAGAGAGAGAGAGAGAGAGACATGCCCCATGACCCAGAAAGATAAGCAGTTTAGAAAATGTGTGTGTGTGAGAGAGAGAGAGAGAGAGAGAGAGAGAGAGAGAGAGAGAGGGATAATGAGAAGAGAGGGGAGTGAGCTGTTTGGGGTCTATATTTTGTAATAAGTCTGAATGTATTTCTGTGTGTAACGATGTGACTGTAAATGTTACCTGGTTATAAACGAGCTCCAGAGAGAGTGGCAGCGCCTCACGGTCTCCGTCTATCCCAAACCGCTTACTCGCGGCACCTAAAACAAACACCAACGCACACACACACACACACACACACACACACACTCTGTTGTTACAATCTTCACTGCAAACTACTGAATCCTACACAGTGAAATGATCTCATATCCAAGCAGTACAGTACTGTTCTCTCTGATAAAACTGTGTGTCTCCGAGAGACTCATCCAGACTGTTAGGTTAGAGCAGCAGGACTGCAGTCAACAAATTTCCTAGATTACTGCAAACAGTCAGAAACATCGAAAAACGTTTGTTTTGTTGGTAAAAGTTCATAAAGTGATAATATTCAGAAACAGCACTGATTGTAAGATTTTGTTGTTTATTTTAAGAGAAATTACCTTCATCACTCTCATCTCCTCCCCGATCGCTCTCTGCATACGTCTGTTTATACTTATGTTTCTATATAGGAGCACGCTGCTGTACATTGTACTTCAAGAGTTCTTTAGTAAAGACAGTGGTTCTATATAGAACCATGAACCAACCAGCACCATGTGACAATGTCAAGCTTGTAACACTAAAAGAACCCTTTCTGGCGCTATAAAGAACCAACACATTATCCATTAGGGGTGCAAGAAAAAAAATCGATTCTTAGATGCATCGCGGTGCGGACGTGAACGATTCTGAATCGATTCACAAATGTCAAAAATCGATTTTCTAAATATTTAATTTATAATATAAATGTTAACGGAACGCAAAAGGCGGAACTTGGAAGTGCGAAAGTGCAGCGCCCGGACAGTCTGTGGCGGCACGTAACAAAAACACAACTGGATGAGTGAGAAATCCGACCAGCTCCCTCTGCATTAAAGCCAGGTTAGATCAGAAGTCACAACACAAATGATAACATTTTGTCCTTTCAACAAAAATCAAACCATCTTGGGAGCCACAACATTTAATGTCCAGTGTGTCTCAGTATGTGTTAATGTCCTAGTATAGACTAAACAATATAAACGAAATGCAGATTTACTTCGCTCTGCTTTAAGCTTTAGCTACAGCCGCTTTCCTCCCATCTCCGCCAAAAAACTTTTCCTCAGAAGTTGATCAGTTAAATGTCTCTCAGCGTTCGACTGTTTTACGAGGCTGAAGTCGTTTCTTATTCTCCAGCTTCTTGTTCGAATTGTCCTGTTCCACCTTAAATTCTAACTGAGGCGCCGAATGTAATTGCGGCACCATTTAAGGTGGAACGGGAGAATTCGAAAGAGAAGCGACTTCAGCTTCGCCACTTTTTAGTGTGACCGTCTCTCGTTGCAGATTTAACGTACCAGGAAACCAACTGTGCTGCATATAAATGCGAATAACACATTGCTGCTTTGTGACCTGCAGTCTGCATGGCAGTTCTCAGCCGTTGCGAAACACGGCTTTTGCGCTATGTTGCACATGACCCGTCTCAAAGATACTTTACTGACACAGCGGTCCCCCCCGTCTCTACAACGAGACCAAAACCGAAGTGAAAAAATCACTAAAGAAAACGGGTAGAATAGCTGTAACATGTGCTGCGTGGTCATCCATCACCACTGGATCTTATTTCACTGTAACTGCGCATTTTATCACAGATGAGTAGCAGCAGCTTCTCGTGCTCCAAACAAGAGCACTGAATGAGAGCCTTCTAGTTCACTTCCATTTGTTTTATTAAAAAAGATATTGGAAGTAAATTCATTATGGATCATTACAAATACTTTGCTTTAAAAGTACCAAGTCACTTTAAATAACAATAACGCCGAGTTATTTGGTCACTTTAAAATGTAAATTGTCTCTATGTTCTGTGTATATTTTGTGAATATTTTGTGTATATTTAATATATTTCAGTTGGTTTTTCTTGTATTTTTATTTTTACTTATTGACTTTCTGTAGAGTGATTAGCTGAGCCTCACCACAAGCATTTCAATGCATGAATGTCCTGACATGTTGTGCAAATGACAAATAAACTTGAAACTTGAACTCAAAACTTGAGCTCACACAGTGAGAAAATATAAATGCTATATAGAAAAAAAACAAGCATTGATAATCGTTTTATAATCGCATCGCAGCCCTCTGAATCGTAATCAAATCGAATCGTGAGGTGCCTAGAAATTCCCACCCCTATTATCCATCAATCTGAACAACGATTTCACCATTCGGAGAACCATTTAAACATGCAAATACTTCTTTGAGTGTTCATAGTTCTATATAGAACCACTATCTTTACTAAAGAACCCTTGGAGAACCAACTCGTTTAAGAGTGTAGTGTAAGAATTTCACTGAATGTTGGGGATGCCCCGTACTCTCCCTTATTTAAAGACATTTGTGGCACAAAAAGAGTCTCATCAGTTATATAGTTATGAAAGTTGTGATAATAAATCACTTGTTTTAAGCAGTTTGCACTTACACTGTCTTACTTTTGGCATCCTGTGTTATTTGAAACTTTCTGTAGTGCTGACTTTAGAGATTTAAGTCAAATTTGCCCACTTTTTGTCAGAATTCTCCAAAGCTGCATGTATTCAGATGTGATCTGAAGTTAATAACAGACTCCTAACAGGTCAGTAATAGCAGAATACTAATTTTCTGCTGTTTAGTGAGAAGACCCGGCTCATGATAGCTTAACTCAAATACAAAGTCCGAGATTACAGCCAATTTTTCTTACTAAGAGATCTGGATGAGTTGCTGAGTCACTATATGTTATTACTGTGAATGGAAACAAGATCTGCCACCACCATGCTTTGTGGTTAACACTAAATCTCTGCACAATGCTAATGAAGTGCTATTAGCTACTGAAAAGCAGCTTTTTGTTTTGTTTGCTGTGATTGTGTAACAAACAGGACGACCACAGATGATGAGTTTGCACTGAGTGAACATGAGACGCAGACTGCAGGAGTTTCGGAGCTGTTTCTCGTGGGAAAGCGCCAGGTCAGTGCCAGTGGGTGAGAGTGCACAGACAGGGTTTGAGGCTTTGAATACAGCACTGTTATTATGGCTCACTCAGGGTCAGCAGTGTACATAGCAAAATAACAGAATTTTCCAATCATATGACCAAACTGTATATCAGATGATTAATAAAGCTGAAGAGAAAAGAAACTTACTGCTTATTTGGTAAATGGATTTTAAACTGTTCTTTCAAAACAAACACAAACATCTGAAGGTCAGCATAGTGATTAACTGTTACCGCATTTTGCCGTGGTGATTAATTATTATTAGAGGTCACCATGGTGATTCACTGTTATTGCATGCTGCCATGGTGATTAATTATTACTGAAGGCCAGCAGGTTGATTAACTGTTGTTGCAGGTTGCCATGGTGATTAATTATTACTGGAGGTCAGCAAGGTGATTAACTGTTATTGCATGTTGCCATGGTAATTAATTATTATGAAGATCGCCATGGTGATTAACTGTCATTGCATGTTGGCAAAGTAATTAATTATTACTAGATGTTGGCATGATGATTGGTAATTATTGTTCAGCATGCTGACTGCTTGTTATTGGAGGCTGGCATGGTGATTATAGATTATGGGATGTTGTTGTGGTGATTAATTATTATTGAAGGTTCACATGGTGATAATTGTTTTTGGACATTGCCACAGTGATTAACTGTTGCTGGATGTTGCCATAGTCACTAAGGAGTAGGCATGGCTACTGGTGCTTACCCATAGCTTTGATGGCTCTGGTCCCTGCTGTGTGTCCGAGCTCCAAAGAGTGGACAAACACTTCGGTTCTGGTCTCCCCGCCGGCCAGTGTCAGCTACAGGAAATAAATACCAAAACATTTCATAATGATTTATCTGTAAAAAGAATGAAGCAGCTCAGACAGAAGCTAGATTTACCACAGAGCTTTCATAACCACAGTTACTCACTACACACAGTTATAAACAGAGAAAAACTCAATATTCTTATATAGATATTTAGGATTATTTAATACATGTGCAATGTTCAAATGTTCACAGACAGTGTTTATATTTAAATATCCAGCAACGAGAGTAATGTTACAGAACTGTTTTGTGAATGTTCAGCTAGAATTTAGAGTCAGTCACTTAGTTAGAGTCAAAATGTAATGTGAATCTAATATGAGGACCAGATTAAGCAGTTCTGGACTGCAGCGCTAGCAGGTGTGTGTGTGTGTGTGTGTGTGTACGCGCACCTCTGCCTGGTAGAGCTGTATGAGTGCAGGTCGTGTTGCGTTTCTGCAGTAGTACAGCAGCAGGTCGGCCAGGATGGGCAAACCTTCCTCTACTGAATCCTGCAGCAGATCAGGCTCAGGCTTCGATGTTTGCTGTAAGGTGTAATACACACATACATTACTCATACTCTAAGCAAACGTGGTACAAACTCTAAAGTACTAGATAATTAATTTGGGTAGCATAATGGTAAGTTTAAAAGTAGTCAAACTAAATTACACTGAAATGCCCAACAGGTTCTAGGTATTGACTCCAAAGAACTAGATAATTAGTTTGGGTAACATGGTAGATGAATAAAGTACACAGACTTATACAATATGTACATGTTTATTAGCTATAAGCTAAACTGAATCTGTGGTTCTACTGGGTTCTTACCGTTTATTCAGAAAACTATCTTTATAACTTGTACACCGTTTTACTCCATATAACTCATCTGCTTCTTGGAGGAGATTCTGATTTACTTTCCTACTTAAATGTGTGACATTATAGCGAAATTTAGTGTGAGATTGTTTGTTCTAAACAGTTATTACTCCAAACAATTATGAGGTATTTTGCAATGTCATTCATTAGCTTAATATCTAGAACTTCATTTTAAGTATGGGTAATAATCATTTTTTTTTACCAATAATGTAATTTACACAAGATTTGATTATCATTTAAATTATCTAGTACTTCCGTAGTTTGTACATCACACTTAATTTGTTAAACAGTAGTCTACAGGACTTTTATTTTGTCTGGAAAAACTGTACTCAGGATGTTTATTCTGAACAGCATTACAGATGATATATAATGGCCTCTTCTGTGTGTGAGTACAGTAAATAGTCCGAGTGTGTGTTAGTGTAAAAACTCACCTTACACACCACGTGCAGCGGCAGGTCGAGCAGACAGAGGGTGTTTCTCTCGTACCAGGGGTCCAGCATGCCCAGCAGGGCGGCGATGTCGTTAGTGCTGTCCTCCAGCTGGTCCGCATTTATATCCTACACATTCATACACACGGTTACAACACTGCACCTGCTACAGCTAAAACTATTTCCATCTTATTTTAGTGTAAGAGTAAACACAGATGACACAATCTGATTGGTTGAGAACTGTCACATGATAATAGCACATTTTTCTGCTGAGCACTGATTGCTACGTAACGACTCTAACAGTTGCTAAGTTTCTACTTAAACGCATATAAGAAACAGAGAATTAATATTTTAGATAACTTCTGTGAGATAATATTTGACCTGCAGCCCGTTTGGTCTGATTCTAAAGACAGTTCATCAAATTCCCAACCTGTGGAACAACACAGGTTGTCTGAACAACAAATTGGAATCAGCCAGAAACCAAGAGAATATAATGAATTGCTTTACAGACTGACTGGAACAAAATACATTCAGCTTCATCTGGTCAAACACTAAAAAAGCTGAGCTCAACCTGATATTCACACAGTTTAATGGCTCTGTAATGCAAAATGGTGCAATGTTGATACAATATTCAGGGCTTCTTTGCTTTACATTTTCAGTTTTTTTTTTGCAGACCTGTTGTATGTTATATGTATGTTTTTTCCATGTAAGAAATAATTTTTATTATTATTTTATTTTTAACTGGAGTTTTTTGGGAGGACTTTTCAGCCATGCTAACACATACATCCACGTGCCAAGGAGAGGCTTGTTGATGTTTACTTTGAGCGCCGCCTTCTAAAGGCGTTTGGTTGGCTTGGGAACCACTGAGTTATAAACAGCATATACTAAGCAGTAAAGTTTTACAGTATTTCAATGTGGCCTGTTTTTCTCTTCACCTGTATGGTTTTAAGCGGACTGGCAGAGAACTGGTTAATCACTCCATTTCCTGGTGGATCTCTCCTGACAGGAATGAAGAAGAATCGAAGCCTGAAGGCCCTGCTGAGCCTCGGATAGTCCCTCTCTCTCCTCCGCAGGCTGCTGTACGCCCGGGCCACCCTGCAGGACAGACAAGCATTTCAGATGGAACTGTTATTGATATTTTCAATTCACTATCGTTTACAATGGCTCAAAACAACAACACTACAGTAATAAGATGTAGCAGTAATGACCTAATATGCATGTCTCTCACTGAAGATGCCTGACTGCACCTGTTGTGGTTGCTTATAATAGCTTGTACACTTTTCTGTTTAAAATAATGACACTTAAATAAACTAAACAAATAAAGCGAACCTCACAGTAAACCCCGCCACCAGCCTGAAACTCTGTGTATCATTAAAACTTAAGTTGGTGAACCCACAGTTCCAACATTTTTCTTGTGTTTTATTTTTTTCTCTGAAGTCCACTTATGTCGTTAATATAGATTTTTAATCTCTTTTTTTTTGTTTTTTTTTCTGGACCCACTGTGGGGTCACATGATATCCCAATCTCCCTTTAAACAGGCTGTCTATATGTAAATGAACTCTGTTCTGATTGGCTTACCCCTTCACAAGTAAAATGAGCTGAAACTGCTGTAGGCTAAATTAGCAATCATTTGTAAACATTTTCACGGTTGTGATGTAACATGTTTTTGTTACTGTTCCTTTAAGACTGATATATGTAAACGAGGTCTGTTCTGATTGGCTGCCCTGTATTGTGCATCAAAAAGCAGTCTGGACTGCAACTTTATTGAGAATGCGTGGGGGTGAACTGCTGTAGACTGAGTAGATATATATATGTAAATGTGTTGTGACATCACACACGACATTTGTTTGGACTATTTGAGTATTTGTTATTATCTAAAAAGGTGAAAATTCAGACTCATCCTTTACCTCCCGGCCACGTGATCAGCTCCGAACACCAGAACCCTGAGGAGAGCGGCTCCAGGCTCCTCGGCCTCATCGCTGCTGAGGATGGGCCTCCTCCTGTAGCGTACACAGCCCAGGGCCTGCTGCGCCAGGAGGCTCTCGGTGAGCCCCAGCTCGGAGCTGCGCATCAAGGCCTGATGGGGAACAGAGTTGGAGCGTTTCGAGCGGACGGATGGCAGGATGTCTTTGGCCTCTGCGTTTCCCAGGCTTTTGGCGCGGCACAGCGAGTGGCTGCTTCGCGGCTTAAAGAGGCGCGAAAGGCGCTTGGAGAACCCGGCGGAACTTTTTGGCTTTCCCAGCACGGGGGGAACGGGAGATTCCTCCTCCACATCCTCACAAAAATCACTGTCAGTTCCTGAAGCCTGGGAGGAAGAGGAGAGTGTGGAGAGCGGAGAACATTCAGAGGAGGCCACGGAATAAGTGGAGAACATTGAGTCCTTGGAAGCGGTGGACAGAGACGACACAGTGGAGAACATAGATGCTCGCGGGTCCACATAGCCAAGAGACGTGAAATCCTCCATCTCCTCAAGATCCTCATCTTCATCCGCGTCTTCATCATCTTCGTCCTCCTCAACCGCACCTTCAGAGGTCTGCTGGGAGACCAGATCAGGCTCCGATTCCAAAAGCTTGGTCAGGACGTCTGTGGAGAGTAAGAGACGGAAAGAGTGACTGTACATTCACACTATCAGGCAACAAGTTTACGTCTTTCCCCACGTTTGTCTCTTGCTGGAGTGTTCGAGGCCAATTGTGTTGTCATATGTGGGTCGTCTACACAGTCCAAGATGTAGTAGCCAAAACAATATATATATTTATTGCCCTTTTTTCCTAAAGATTATATCACAATATCTACATTTAGTGTCAGTTATTCATTCAACCTAATGAGAAACTGTAGAACAGACTCAGTTTATATTACAATATCTACATTTAGAGCCAGTTGTTCATTCAACCTAATGAGAAACTGTAGAAGAGACTCAGTTTATATTACAATATCTACATTTAGAGTCAGTTATTCATTCAACCTAATGAGAAACTGTAGAACAGACTCAGTTTATATTACAATATCTACATTTAGAGCCAGTTGTTCATTCAACCTAATGAGAAACTGTCGAATACGACTCGGGATTCTTACCAAAGTTATCCGTGTCCCAGTCGATGGTGTAGCACTTGGCTGTAGGCAACCTCAGAATCTGCAGCATCCCTGCAGACACACAGCACTTAATATGAATCATCACTTGATTGGGACCTTAACTTTTAACTTTTATAAAACTAAAACAAATAACACATTTAGCCTTTAGAGCTCATAAGATTTCACTCATCACTTACCATCTGTGTTCCTGCTGCTGCATGCTGGGATCTTGAGTTTTTCCCACACTTCCTCCAGGCGCTGTGCTACACAAGCTCGAGCCGTACTCACATCTGCCATCGCTGCTGCGCACTCCAACAGCTCCGTTACAGACGACAGAGTCTGAGCCAACTCCTCTTCACCGAGAGACTGCAGAAAGACTCACAATTATTACATTTTTGTATAACTCCTAGTTCTGAAATCTGATTGGTTGGGATATATTCACAGTTCTTGCAGTTATTAATGTACAAAATAATTTACACCACAAATTTAACACCTACCTACCTACTTTATTAGAAGCACCTACTTTTAGCTTCCACTAACTGGCCACTTTATTAGAAACATCCACCTTCTGCTTCCACTCACTGGCCACTTTATTAGAAACACCTACCTTGTGCTTCTAATTACTGGCCACTTTATTAGAAAAACCAACCATGTGCCTCGACTCAGTGGCCACTTCATTAGAAACACCTACTTTGTGCTTCTACTCACTGGCCACTTTATTAGAAACATATACTTTGAGCTTCCACTAACTGGCCCCTTTATTAGAAACATCCAACTTCTGTTTCACTAACTGGCCAGTTTACGAGAAACACCTACATTCTACTTCTACTCACTGGCCAATTTATTAGAAACACCCACCTTCTGCTTCCTCTAACTGGTCACTTTATTAGAAACACATACCTTGTGCTTCTAGTTACCGGCCACTTTATTAGAAACACCAAGCATGTGCCTCGACTCACTGGCCACATTATTAGAAACACTCACATTGTGCTTCTACTCACAGGCCACTTTATTAGGAACACCTACCTTCTGCTTCCTCTAACTGGCCACTTTATTAGAAACAACTATCTTGTGATTCCACTCACTGGCCACTTTATTAGAAACACACACCTTCTGCTTCCTCTAACTGGACACTATATTAGAAACACTTTTACACAGGTCTCTAACCAGCAAGGTGGAGCCTCAAGAGAGGTGTATCTGATAAAGTGGCCGGTGCGTGTATGTGGTGTAGTGTGTATTAGGGCGTGTGTATACCTGCAGTGCTGTGTGTATGGCGGTCAGGGGGTATTTGGCACCCAGTGTGGACTGAAAGGCGTGTTTAATGAGGGTGATGCTGGCGTCTCTGTGGGAAACCTCAGCTCCACCCAGCTGCTTCAACACCGAGAGAAACGCTGCAGGAACATCCGCCGGGTTCAGCAACAACACCGTTCTGAAGAAACATGCACAGAAACCAGAGAAAAACATCAGAACTGGGCGTTCCATTATGTCTGATAGAACACAGGAAATCAAAACATCAATAACAGCCTGTGGGCAAAAGCATGCCAGGTAAACAGACGTGAATAATTTAGGTCTTAATAATGCAGGCCAATCTTCAAATGTAATCACAACACTGGTGTTTTTAATTCACTTTTTAACATTATTAATAATATATAAACACTTTTGTAGCAGATAAATGCATGAAAGTGCTCTAATTTGATTTAATTATTATGCCTAATTATTAGGCAGATGTACAAATGAAGAAAATGTTAGATGTCCTAAAATGACGAGAAGGTGTATGAAACTAATAAAATTAATGTAAAATGGCAAAAACGTGATAACATTAATACGCAGAATGCCTCATATATGTAAAAGAGTGGCAGATAATATGACAATAAAATATAATCATAATTCATTAATGATCTATTCTTGCTCCTGAAATACTTATGTCTAATAAGAACATATCACTGCTGTCTGAACAAAACCTCGTATCTCCATTTTTCAGTTTTTGACATAATTTCAAAATGACTGCTGCCCTTTACACTGTGTGTAAATTTCATGAAGAAACTTACTTGGAAAAAAATCTGGTTCCGTTGCCTTACATTAAAAGTAAAGTATGTTTTTTGTTCTCCTGTAAAGTTACCATTTTGGAGATACAAGGTTTTGCTCTGACAACAGCGATATAAATCATAATATTCTATAACATTTTGCAACAGTGAATTTGCATTTTGCTTTGATTTTGCATCAAATATTTACCATTTAAATGTAATATTACTGTATATAAAACAGCAGAGGTTATTAAGGTAATAAGTCATTCCAAACAAACAAGCAAACAAACAAACAAGTCAGCAGTGAAGGCTTGGCTAACAGCCACTCTTGGGCGCAATCTAAGAACTGAGACAGGAAGCTGAATCGTTTCTGACCGCAGAGAGGGCCGGGCTCTAACGGCCGCAGCAGGATTTCCTGCCTAAACACGAAAAACACAGACAACAGAGACACTCACATGGTTCTGCTGCCGTGAGTGGAGGCAGCAAGGCCCTGTTCCTCTCTCACCAGCCGGTGGTATGAAATCCCTGGAGCACACACACAGGCATTAGACCGTCATGTCTGATCAGGCGGATCGCTGTTATGTAACAGATCTGATGATGGTGGGTTCTTCTGGTGATACTGACATTGTCTTTTGTTTTTGGCTTTTATTACAGAAAAAAAATCATCCAAAAAGCAGACGCACACCAAAAAACTGTATCTTGTCTACTAAAATTATCTTAAATATAACTCATAAATCTAGTATTTCTCCTGTTGAGAGTGCTGTAACCTTAATTTAAGATTATTTACCTTCTAATCTGAAAACTGCAGAAATCAGATAATGTAAACACACTCATTGCATGATTAGATGTACTTTTGTCAGACGTCTTGGCTGATTCAGTGCGGTAAGAAGTAAAATGTGCACATTTGACTTTTCAAAAATGCTAATCATAAACGACAACTAGCAGCCAGGATATAGCATTACAGGCTAACCGTGAACTCTTTCTTGACTGAGGAAGTCAGTTCAGCTGTGAGATACTGTTTGTTTGTGTGCATATGTATACACTACATGGACAAAAGTATTGGGACACCTACACATCACACCCACAGGAGCTTTTATGAATCCCATTCTAAATCCATAGGCATTAATATGGAGTTGGTCCCCCTTTGCAGCTATAACAGCTTCCACTCTTCTGGGAAGCTGTCTACAAGATTTTGAAGTGCGTCTGTGGGAATTTTTGCCCATTCACCCAGAAGAGCATTTGTGAGATCAGACACTGATGTTGGACAAGCGGGCCTGGCTCACAATCTCCGTTCTAGTTCATCCCAAAGGTGTTCGATAGGGTTGAGGTCAGGACTCTGTGCGGGCCAGTCAAGTTCTTCCACACCAAACTCACCCAGCCATGCCTTTATGGAAATTGCTTTGTGCACTGGGGCTCAGTCGTGTTGGAACAGAAAAGGTTCTTCCCCAAACTGTTCCCATATTGGAAGCAAACAGTTGTCCAAAACGTCTGCTGAAGCATTAAGATTTCCCTTTACTGGAACTGAGGGGTCTAGGCCAACCTCTGAAAAACAGCTCCATAGCATTATCCCTCCTCCACCAAACTTTGCAGTTGGCATGGCTAGGTGTTTAATTTTATTCATCTGTGGCAATGGGACTGAATGAATGAATAAACACCTGATTTCAAAGATTAAGACATGTGTCCCAATACTTTTGTCCATATAGCATATGTTTGTATGTACACTAGTTACCTGGTGCGCGGAGCTCCTGCTGGAGAGTGGTGAGCAGACCGCGGCAGACGGTGGAATACGGCTCAGGCCATGTCAGAAAACCATGGAAGACCTCACACGCTTCAGCTAGAAGATCACAATCCGGAGAGTACGGAGTCTGGAGTAGGGGAACATTACCACAGTGTGATTAAGTTTAAGTTTACTTTTTAAAGGACTGTGTTACTGATAAAATTATTCAAAAAGGGAAATCAGACATTTGTTGTTTTGGCTTCTTCTTCAGATGAGCTAATGAGCTGACGTTAATAGCCAACCAGTGGATGTAAAACATGACATATACAGGGACACAGGAAGGTGTTTTAAGTGGGAGGTGCTGAAATTTTAAGCAGCGTGACATAAGCGATGACATCATGCACATTTTTACCTTTTTTCTTTTCTCATCATGCACATTTTTTTTTCTTTTCTTATCATGCACATTTTTACCTTTTTTCTTTTCTCATCATGCACATTTTTTTTTTCTTTTCTTATCATGCACATTTTTACCTTTTTTCTTTTCTTTTTGTTTTTGCTAATTTACATCAAACAGAATGTGTCATAAAGTGATATAATGACGTGAGTGACAAAAATATATATATCACATCAAACCACTGTTCTCTGATTCTGGATGAACTTTATGCAAATGAGCTGAGCAGCAACCAATCAGACTGTCGATATATGGTGCAGTAACTGATATATAAGTATATAAGTAGGTGTGTGTGTGTGTGTATATATATATATATATGTATGTTGCACCAAAAAGGGTTCTGCTATTGTTACAATGGCAAGCCTGTAACAATAGAAGAACCCTTCTGGGTGCTATATAGAACGCTTTTCAAAAAGGTTCTATATAGAACTATCTACAGCACATTATCCATTAATCTGAAGAACCATTTCAAATGCAGGCTCTTTAAGTGTTCATGGTTCTATATAGAATCCTTGAAGAACCATAATTGTGTATGTAGCACCAAAATGGATTCTTCATCGTTACAAGATTGACATCATAATAACAGAAGAATCCTTTTTGGTGCTATATAGAACCATTTTCAAAACCTACATATTCTCCATCAGTCTGAAGAACCAGTTCACCATGCAGAGAACCATTTAAGTATGAAATGGTTCTATATAGAACTCTTGGTTCTAAATACAACCATTCCCTTTACTAAAGAAGAACCATGAAGAACCACGTTTTTTTTTAAGTGTGCATAATGCAACATAAAGACAAAACTGGACTAAAGTACACAGCGCCATGCTAACTGGTGGGGTACAAAATTACATGTTAGCTCAGTTTTAGTGCTAAAACTAAAGAAAGTAAACTATAGGGAGATGTTTAAGAGCAGGTAAATATGATATATTACAGAAGGACTGTGAGGGTCTCACCTGCAGGAGTGTTGACTCGAACATGATGGCAAGAGGCGCCACCAACTCATACTCACTCTCCTCCTGCACCTGCCGATCACACACACACACACACAGACCAGCGTCAAACTGCTTCAGCAACTTGATCAATAACTCAGTAACTCAATTAAATCCATGGTTCAGACATGCTGATTAAATTCAGTACTGAACCTAAAGCTTTACAGAAGATTTCATTTCCTGTGACACTGACATTGAGAGGTCACAAGAGGGCAGTGTTACTCATGGTATTATATGTGACCTTTCAGAGTAACAGTGCTGATTCCAGACCAACTTTTATGCCTTAAAACCGTAATGAACACAGTCATATGAAAAGGTGCAGCTGATTCTAGATCAGTGCTCTTACATTAGGAGGGTTATACACAGGACTGGTGCCAGGGGGTCATCTAGGGGGGGGCAATGCCTCACCAAACAAACATTATGCCCCACCAAAATCCTCTGTTTTGTACATGCTTCTAAACTAAACTTTGTGCACCCTGCTGCACTGCACTGCTTACTGCACTGCTTGCTGCACCGCCTGATGCACTGCTTACTGCACTGCTTACTCCACTGTTTGCTGCACTGCCTGATGCACTGCTTACTGCACTGCTTACTCCACTGTTTGCTGCACTGCTTTCTGTACTACCTACTCCACTGCTTGCTGTACCGCTTGCTTAACTGCTTACTGTACTACTTACTGCACTGCCTACTCCACTGCTTATTGCACTGCTCACTGCACTGCTTATTGCACTGCTCACTGCACTACCTACTCCACTGTTTTGCAGGATTTGCATGCATCACTTTGTTTTGGCTGTGTCTGAGGGACGTGCTGCATGTTCTGAGAAGATCAGAATCAGCACTCAGGTTTCCTAAACAGGCAGATCTTTGATTATTTGCTGTAAAGGAGACTCTCGTGTTGATTCTCTCCTGGATGTGCAGCTCCTTTAGACAGATTTACTGTAGATTCTCTCCTGTTTTCTTCAGCTGTTCTGTTGTTTTCCCGCTGCACTGACCTTTCTGGCTCTGGTGAGGATCTGCTGCAGGAGGATGAGGAAGTTTTCTGGATCTCTCCTCAGGAGTTCCTCCAGACTCCATCGGTTCATACACCAGCCAGCTGTTAAAAAATAAACATAGATATACATTAATGTTCTGAAAGTGTGGAATCAATGTTTACAACAACATAAAACCAGCTTACCTGTAAACAAGAATATACAATTAAGGTTGCACATTTGCAACTGGCAGATTTTTGTTTCAAACAAGTGATTGGCAATTGGCCTGTTTATTATTTTAATTTGCTTTGATTTTTGATCACTTTGATGTTTTGATGTGTGCTGTAATTTTCTGAGGTAAATTAGAAGGTGAGGCAGGTAGCAACACTCGCAGCGTATCCGAATGCTGCTGATACACCTGAAGCACAATATCACAGCATAATGACACCCGATACACTGTGATAAACAGCCAGTCACCTCCAACTGTACACGCAGTGCTCTTTTTAACTCATGTTATTTTAAAAAACAACTGATTTTTCATTTATAACTATATAAATAATATCTGCACACTGCAAAAACTACTTGGCAAGTGAAACGATCTTAAATCTAGTCAATATATCTAATATTTGTCATGCTGAGATTGTTGTAGCTTATTATAAGACTTTTAAACTTATATGAGGCATTTTGTACTGATTTTAAATAATTTAGTTAAGTTAAATTATTTTACTATATTGGCAGAAATTTTTGCTTTATTCAAGAATATTTCCTAAAATAAACAAAACTATCTGGCAATATAGTGAGATCATTTTACTTCTTGTTCAGAGAATTCTTAAAACACTGACTAAAACATCTATGCCTTTTGTGAATAATCTGTAAGGTTTAAATTCACAGTGAATAAATAAAAAAAAACAGAGAAGGAAATAAACATAGGTAAGAGAAGTGATGAGTAGACAGTCATGATAATAACAAAGCTGGAGTGCAAAATATTAATATAACCTTAAGATGGTCTCTAACACACTCTCTCACACCCACAGAGCCTCCAAAGCTGATATCAGATTAAACTCACTCACTGCCGAGATAATCACTCTTCTTTTGTTCTGAGTGGAATTATTAATATTCACTATGACTGTAATAGGTACTTCCTGTGTATTATAATTATGCTGAACATGCACAATGTAATTACCACAAAGCTGCTCTTTCTGAACTCTTATGTTCACTGTACTCATGTGCATGTACATGAGAACAGACTGAATCCTGAAACTTTCATCTTAGATTCCAGCAGAACAAGAGACCCCAGAGACTCCACCTGACCAAGTACACTTCAAACATAACAAAGTACACTTCAAATCTAAACAAGTACACTTCAAATCTAACCAAGTACACTTCAAATCTAATCAAGTGCACTTTAAATCTAACCAAGTACAATACAAACCTAACTAAGTGCACTTCAAACTTAACCAAATACACTCCAAATCTAAACAAGTGCACTTCAAATCTAATCAAGTACACTCCAAATATAAACAGGTACACTCCAAATATAAACAAGTACACTACAAATCTAAAAAAGGGAACTCCAAATCTAAGCAAGGGCACTCCAAATCTAAACAAGGGCACTCCAAATCTAACCAAGTACAATACAAACCTAACCAAGTGCACTTCAAACTTAACCAAGTACACTCTAAATCTAAACAAGTACACCTCAAAACCAACCAAGTACACACCGTATTTAACCAAGTGAACGTAAAAAACTGCCCAGGTACAGTTCAAAACCAACCAAGCACACTTCAAACTTAACCAAGTACACTTCTAACTTAACCACATACACTCAAAATCCAATCAAGTGCCCTCCAAAGCTAACAAAGTAAACCAATCAAGTCCACCTTAAATCTAACCAAGTACACTTCTAATACAACCAAGTGCAGCTCTAATATCAAATGTGAAAGGTTCACCTCGATTCTTACCTTACACATTTCAACCAGCCTACGTAAACTTTATCATCATATTAGCAGAACAACTTATGAAACCATAATTTCGTAGAAACGAAGCGTGGAGCACTTCCTCGCTGAACCAAGGTGTCAATTAAGCGCTTCCTCCCACATCTCCACTCAGAGCACAAACACACACACACACACACGTCCCAATAACAGAATGAAGCAGATCAGCTGAGTTTGAGGAGACACAGCAACACGTCTAACACTGAGACGCTTTCTAAAGTCAGCAGAACATCAGCAGAGCCCACTGGACATAAACAAACAACCTGCCACCTTACAGACCAGCAGCTACTTTCATCTGCTCTCTCAGACAGAGGCCTAAAAGGATAAGTTCAGAGAAAATTCAAATTTACACAATCCTGAGCTAAAGTCAAACTGAGGAAAGAGAGAGAGAGGTAAAGAAAGAGAGAGAAGAATGAGGGGGAGTGGGCAAGAAAAAGAGAGAGAGAACGAGACACATAGAGAGAAAAGAGAGAAAGAACAAGAAGAGAGATCGAGAGAGGGGAAAGAGACCCAAAAGAGAGTGAAGGGGTGAGAGCGAGAAATTTAATAAAGAGAAAGAGAGGGGGGGAGTGAGAGAAAGAGAGAGAGGAAAGAAAGACAAAGGAAAGAGGAATAGGGAGAGAGTGAGATAGAGAGACAGTGTGAGAGAGAGGGGGAAGAGAAAGAAAAAGCAGAAAGAAATATGGAGAGAACGAGAGAGATAGAGGGGAAAGAGGGCAGGGACAGAGAGTGGGAGAGAGAAAGGAGAGAAAGAGGGGAGAGAGAATGGTGAGAGAGAAAAAAGGAGGAGAAAGAGACTGAAAAATGAGACACGGGAGAGAGAGGGTGAGAGAGCAAGAGAGGAATTAATAAAGAGAGAGAGGGAGAGAGCAAGAAAGAGAGAGAAAGGGAGGCAAGAAAGAAAGAAAGACAAAGAAGAGAGAAATAGGGAGAGAGCAAGATAGAGAGACAGCGTGAGAGAAAGGGAGAGAGAGCGAGAGAGAGATACTGACTGTTCCAGGACTGTGTGAGTGTGTTGGATGATTGGAGGCCGTCCAGGCAGCGGTCCAGCGCATGCTGGATCCGATCCTCCGTGCACGAGGTGTGCTGCATCTTCACACTGCCTACAACACAAAACACAACAAACACAGACATCACTTTAGCTGTAAGGACCAAAGTTTCTTATAAACATGAGTATGATAGCATCTTACGCCACAAAACCAACCAGCCCAATCCTAACTGGTGCTAATCCCAATCCTAATCCCATTAATTGTATGAAAAAGGAAATTCACTTTCTTCACATTTTTCTTAAAAAGCACAGAAACAGGCCTCTCACACTCTGGCTTAGAAATATTTTAGTCATTCGTACAGAATGCAGCAGCACGGATCCTCATAACACAGAGAGCTCATATCACCCCGTTTACATACTGCACTGACTTAGATCTGCAGATACTGACCTTCTGCAAACACCTTCTGTAAAATACAGAAAATGTGGAGAGACTCTTTCTGTTATTCTGCTTCTAAACTGTGGAGCTCAGTTCACCTTTTATTAGACAGTCAAGCTCAGAGCTCACTTTTAATAAACATCTGAAAATGCAGCTCTTTAACTCAGCGCTTCGTTAAAACTCTACGTCTCTTTGGTCTTAATGTCTTTAACCACAGCCTGGTATTCCATAGCAACACCCCAGCAATCACCCAGCAACACCCTAGCAACTGATTATCAACACCTTTGCAATCACCTAAAATACCATAGTAATAGTTAGGCAAACACCCTAGCAACTGCCTACCAACCACCTGTGATTCCATAGCACACATCTGGCAACCGCCTGGTATTCCATAGCAAACACCTAGAAACCACCTGGGATTCCACAGCAAACACCCTAGCAACACTCTAGCAACACTCTAGCAACTACTTATCAACACCTTTGTAACCAGGTAACTGCAACTGTCTAGTAAACACTTGGGATTCCATAGCAAAAACCCTAGCAAAACCCTATCAACCGCCTAGTAACCACCTGGGATTCCATAGCAAACACACTAGCAACTAATTATCAACACCTTTACAACCACCTAAAATACCATAGTAACCGTTTGCAACACCCTAGCAACCACTTTGCGACCACTTGGGATTCCATAGCAAACACGCTGGCAACACCCTAACAAACACCTAGAAACCACCTGGGATTTCACAGCAAACACCCTAGCAACACCGTAGCAACTACTTATCAACACCTTTGCAACCACCTACAATACCATAGTAACCGTTCGACAACACCCTAGCAACCGCCTAGTAACCACCTGGGATTCCGTAGCAAACACTCTAGCAACACCCTAGCAACCGCCTGGTAACCACCAGGGATTCCACAGCAGACACCCTAGCAACCACCTAGTAATCACCTGGGATTCCATGGCAAACACCCTAGCAAAACCCTAGCAACAAATTATCAACATCTTTGCAACCATCCAAAAATACCACAGTAACCGTTTGGCAACATCCTAGCAACCGCCTAGCAACCACCTGAGATTCCACAGCAAACACCCTAGCAACTAATTATCAACACGTTTGCAACCACCATTAGGCAACACCCTAGCAGCCACCTAGTAACTGCTTAAACTGTGCAATCATTCTGTATTTTCTTCAGGAAATGCACTTTTCTAATTATTATTATTATTATTGTGAGGACATTAACACATGAAGGTTTGATGGTCAGCCAAGATCTCATCACTCAGAGAAACACAAACCCACAACAAACCACCACTCATTCACCACGGCTGAGAGAGCGGAAACACAAGCACAGTTCCAGAGCACTGCTTAATCTCTTCTTCTGTGGAACAGAATATGAGCATCTCACCATTAAATGACATCAGTATCCTGTTCACCTACATACAGTGACCTTCAGATATTCATCACTTTCCTCTATTAAACACCACAAGCTCAATTTACATATTTTCCCCTTTAATCCAAATATAGCTGATCGGATAACACATCTTCGGGCAGAGCTCCAATGCTTTTTCCTCTAAACATGTCCTCGCTGACTTTGACTCACCACTCCGAAGTGAGTCACACCTACACACTTAAAAAATGGTTCTTAAGTAAAGACAATGGTTCTATTTAGAACCAGAAGCTCTATACAGAACAATTTCACGTTTTTTGTGAAACGGTTCTTGAAACTGATGGAGAAAGTGCTATATATGGCTCATACAGAACATTTTTGAAAATGGTTCTATAACAGTTAAAAGGTTATTCTGTTGTCCTAGGCTTGACATTTTCACAACAGCAAAACCCTTTTTGCTACTATACTACAAAAACAACACATTCTCCATCAAGAACCACCATGCAAAGAATGATTTAAGCATATTATAGGTTCAAATTAGAACCACTGCATTTACAGTGAAGAAGCATCTTATTTAAGACTGTTGTTAAAACCAGTACTGAAATGTGCAGAACGTTTCTGAAGTTAGCTTTTTAGTTTTAGCACTGGAGCTATGTAGCTAATGTAGCTAATGTTAGCACTGTACAAACCGCAGACCTAAATCATCACACGATCGCCTCAAAGCATGTCCAGATGTTCAGTAATTTCTAATAGACTTAATTATGTGGTTTCTGACGCTGTATGACTCACTGTTATCTATAAACATGGATGGAAGTACGTTAGCATAGCTAAAAACAGTAGCAGTCGTGTGGAAGGCTGAATTCTGTCCGTACTTTAGTCCATGTTTATAGATACAGAGTCAGAAACTACATAATCAAGTCTGTTAGAGATTATTGAGCAGGTCTGCACGCTTTGAGGAACGCAGTGTGCTCCATTAGTGCTAACTGGGGTATAAAGCTAGCTACAAAGAACTTGCTAGCTTAGCATCGTAGCTCCAGTGCTAAAAGTAAAGAAGCACTGCAAAAAACGTCTTGGCAAGGGAAGTGATCTTAAATGTAGTCGATATCTAATATTTCTCATGTTAAGATTGTCATAAGCTAATTCCAAGATAATTTTAACTTATTACAAGACAATTATACTTATTTTTTTTACATATTTTAAATAGTTTTATTCCATTTATTTTGCTTTAATCAAGCATATTTCTTAAAACAAGCAAAATTATCTGCCAATATAGTGATAAAATGACTTAAAACAAGTCAAGATGCCTAAAAAAATTAGTCAAATAATCTTATAAATACACTCTTTAAAAACAATGTTTTTTCAAGGTTTTTTTGGCTCCATGTAGAACATCTAGTCAAAATTTCTAATATTTCTCATGTTGAGGTTGTTGTAAGCACTCTTAAAAAAAGATGGTTCTCTCAGGGTTCTTTAGTAAACACAGTGGTTCTTTTTAGAACCTTCAACACTTAAAGAACCACTTGCATGCTTAAATGGTTCTCTGCATGGTGAAATTGTTCTTCAGATTCTCTATGTAGGGCCTTTAGCACCAAAGGGGATCTTCTACTGTTACAAGCTTGACATTCTCCATCAGTCTGAAGAACCATTTAAGCATGCAAATGGTTCTTTAGTGAAGACAATGGTTCTATACAGAGCCATGAACACTCAAAGAACCATCTGTATGCCAAAGTGGTTAAATGGTTATTCAGACTGATGAAGAATGTGTTGGTTCTATGTAGCAACAAAAAGGGTTCTGCTATTGTTACAATGTCAAGCTTGTAACAACAGAAGAACTGTTTCTGGTGCTAAAAGCTCTACATAGAACCATATACAACATATTCTCCATCAATCTGAAGAACAATTTCATTATGCAGAGAACTATTTAAGCATGCAAGTGGTTCTTTGAGTGTTCAAGGTAATAAACAGAACCAAGGTCCTTACTAAAGAACCCATCTTTTTAAGAGTGTAGTTTACAACAACCTCAACATGAGAAAATCATGATGTCATTTTTTGCAGTGAGCAAACTCCAGACACCAAACAGGTCTGACTGACTGCACTTGGGGTAAAGGGGGAAAAGCCATTTCCTTTATTATTGCATCACCTTATTCCACATCTCTCTCTCCTCTCCTCAGGGAAGTAAACACACAGCGCTATTTTGCATGCCTGAAACAGATAGAGGAGTTTAGGCAAATGATCCTGTTTCCAAGAACTCACAGAGAGTTTGGGGGAATTTCTGGGGACTCTAATCTACCTGCTGTTTGTTTTCCTTCCTGCTGTTAATTAAAGCAGCTCATTCCTGGGTTTTGGCACGCGGCCTTTATCCAGCAGAGCTTAAACAACACACTCCGAATTTCCACAGAATGCCACATGTAAATGATACGAGTTACAGCCGGAGGACAAGAGGAGTCAGAACGGTCGCCATAAGAGTCAAGAGCCTCACACCAAACGAATGTCAAAATACATATGTATATTAGTGATTATGCACTGTCCATCAAACGTTTTTAATATGTACGATCATGCATTTGGGGTCCGTTTTCTAGAACTTCACATAAAAGCAGGTTTATTTAGAGCCCATGTGTGAGACACAAGGCCCGTGGGCCAAGTCAGGCCCATGACACAGTCCTATTCGGCCCATGAACTTATTTTAACTTTCTATTCTTATTAGCCCATTTCACCTGAGATGCACCAGCATGCAGTGCAACATAGTGTGTGTTCTGACCCCCTTGCCCTAACAAAAATCTCTGGGCCAGAGGTTACACACAAAAAAAAAATGACCAGTATCTAGTTCAAGCAAATAGGCAGCATTTTTAAAAAAGACTTCGTAAACTAATTTATTTTTATTTAGAATTAGTTTTGAATAAGTATTTAATGCATATTTTAATGCATATTCTTTTGCAGTTTTGGCATATTATGAATAAACGATGGCCCGTTCAGGTCATTGCAAAATGTTGAGTAAAAATGAAATAAAAACAAAACTGGCCCAAAGATTTGCTGAGATTTTTTTAATATGGCCCTTTTAGTTGAGTTTGACACCCCTGATTTAAAGGAAAACGATCTCAAATGTGTAAACACTCACCCCAGTATTAGAAACAGCTTAGAAATGAAGCCAGTGACCACTAGGGGTGGGCAATGTGATGATATTTTATTGTTATCATGATTAATTATGATACAATACACTTTTCGGAGCATACTGTAGATATTGTCAGTACTTAAAGAAAAATGACTAACTACTAATTAATAATTAGGCCTGTTTA